CAACAATTTCAAAACTAATGCTGACTTTGACAGCCATGAAAGAGGTTCCCAGGGCCAAATTCTGCTGCCATAAAAGAAAAGATTGTGATTTAAGACTGAATGTGAATAGCTTGTATCAGAAAGATATGGAATGTAAAACCTAGAATCATGAAATCTGGAGTTACTATTTGAGAGAAGGCAGAAAATGAGATCAAAGTAGAAAAACTAGAAAAGAAGACTGTAAAATTTGGTCAGATAAAAGGAAAATTAATATAAAATTTGAGACTTTAGAGCATAGGATTGGTAAATCTCCATTTAGGACATTTAATAGTATACAGAGAGGAAATAACCAAAAAACAAAGAGAAAACCCATGCATGACAAAATAAGGAACCTCATTTAAAAATACATTCTTACAGCACTAGTCAGTTTCTCTTATTGCTGTGAACTGGGTAAAATAAACTCTTATTTCATTCATTTGAAAACATTAAAAACACTCTCTACTTGCATTACATTTCCATTTCTATACAATGCTAGACAAGTTATTCTCCAATATCAAAATAGCAGTTTGAGGAATTGAAAATCCTGAAATGAATTTGAATGAAATTCCTGGGTGAGGTTTTCTCTCTTGAAATTTGAGTCAAGACTCATTTCCATTCATCTACCAAAAACAAATACCCACTCTACCAGCACCTTCTCATCTTCAACTAACTTCCTTCTGCTTTCTTATTTCTAGAGTAGGGGAGCCAAATAGTAAGATACAGGTGTTGGGAACAGATGATGCTCTCTTCAATATTGTGAAAATTCCAACCATCTATACTTCCTTATTAAAGTTGGCACAGAAACCCCAAAAAAGGATGTGAAGAACATATGAATGGAAAATAAAGTAACATAAAAAAACACCTTTGCTAGTTTGAAATAACTAAAATATTCTTAATATGATAGCTCACCCACCAAATTTTATTATTCTGAAGACTCAAGACCTACCATCAAATTAATGTTAAACAAGTACTTAGACTTTTATTTTTAAGGTATGCCATATATTAGAATCCTTGCTTTATGACAAGGCTGCCATTATTCCACATGACTAGTTAATTATTCATATGTTCACTTTAGACT